CCCTTCTCAGCATTAATTCTTCTTCAGTCCCTTAATTTCTCTTTCTTAATTCTTTTCCTTCCACACTCCATGACCACCAGCAAACCCTGTTTCAGGAGACTTAATGTGCTGGTAGTTTTCTCACTGCTATCCCTTTTCCGCCCCACCAGATCTTGTCTTTTGCAAGTCTATGAAATAAATACACACTTGTCAGTGAGGAAATGGCATGGAAAAGAATTAGCTACTGAAACTTAGGCTCTGGAGTGTTGTCTTCTGGCTGTAAACAAGTTGGCTGGGGAGGTGGTATCCTCAGCCACCTATGGCTGAGCCCTAGACATGGGGGCTGCCCCAGTTTTTCAGGTGGCTGCTCCTCTCCACATCTGCCAGGTCCCTGGTGCTGTGGGCTGGGCATGGGGTGCTCACTATTCACTTTCACTCAAAAAGAAAAAAGTTGAGGAAGCAGCTCTTTTGCAGGTGGAGGTCGACCACTCAGGGTAGTTCAGCCTGGGCTTGTCCCCAGGGGCAACCATGGCTGAAGTGTGCAGGTCATGGAAGACAAGTCTTGAGAAATAGACTTACCTGCAAAAACCTGGGGAAGAGACGGCTTTTATCAATGCCAATGAGGATGTGTAGGATCTCCAATATAGATAACAATTGGCAAAGGCGCATGACAAGTCCTATGGAGTAAAATGTGTCAGCCAACGAATCTACAGACAAAATGAAGATGAAAATTAGAGGGTGGTTATATAGTAAAAGTCTGGATCAACTACTGGGTTTGCTCTTGCCCTCTTACCACTGGAGATGACAAGAAATAAAGTTCACATAGTACCAAACTTTCGGGTAGTGGAAGCAAAGCTTTGGGGAGGGGAGGAGGCAGTCACTCTGAAGCAGGAAGCTGAGAAAAGAATGGGATCCCCTATAGTTGGTGCACTGGCAAACACTGTGCAGGATGTGTTGGTTTAGAGATACCGCTTTAGGCTATTTCTAAATATGAGGAAATGTCTGAGGAATGTCTAAACATGAGGAGGTGTTGAATTCCTGCCTGTATCTGTACCCATGGAACTTCCTCAAACAAGAAGACCACAAAGCAGGTATTTTATGGGCATACAGCTGTCCACCATTATAAATAATTTTAAATTTCCAGTCACTAGTTTTCTGGTTTTGCGCCTTAACCCCAGGCAATGGAAAGAGAAATATGTTGTAACGTTTTCAGAAATAGAGAGTCATGTGCAATAACCACAAAGATATTCTAGTGGCTTCAATAAGATTAATATTCACCATAATGACTGTACCTAGTCACATTTAGGCCTATATCTAAGTCAAACGTTACTAGCATGCTGCTGAATACTAAAGCTCATTAGCAAAACAAGCGCTTCATTCCTGATGTGATACAGGCAGAACATAACTACTAGTAATTTGTTCATCCTTTTTAATGGAATAAACAATGTTTTTCTAATTGAAATTACAGCCCCTGGTATTGGACATACACCTATTCAGAATCCTGACTTTATCTCTAATTTGATGTTTCTGGGTGTCACTGCCTCTTAAAATGTTTAAGGAAAATATAGAAGGAATCCTACCTTTTCCAAATGACATGAACCTGATGATCATATTTGTAAATATCCAGGAATGTCCACAGAATTGCATTAACTCGTACAGAAAGAGGTAGGTGTTCATGGTGAAGCTGTGGAGGTGAAAATGGTAAAGCAAACTGTATGACTGACTTACTACAACATTCAAGCTTTTTGCCCTGTAGAAGTTGCACCCTCTTTGGATGTGTTAGGAAACCAAAGGGAAACAGCTGAAATGTCAACAGATCAGTGAAAGCCAACTGTGTCAGTGGTCACAGAACAGGTCACAGATCCCTAATAGATCAAAGGCTCCCTTTGTTGGTGTACCTAGGATAGGCCCAGAAAAATTTTCTGAGTTTCCATCAGTGATTAGGGCGCTCTGTGGCCATACAGGGAAATTTGTGCCTCCAGGGGAAAAAGTAACCAAGCAAAGATACTCTGTTGAGTGCTGGATTCAAGCCTTGAGCCCCTTGGCTTGGCTCTGCCTTGACAGTGTGACCAGGCTGGAGGGATTGCTGGGGGCCTGGGACTCCCACAGCTACTAGCCTTGGGATTTCTGCATCTGGGTGAGGTTTATCCTGTTCTTCCCAGAAGACTTGCCTCTAGCACGCACTCAAGGCAGCTTAAAGTACAATGCAAGTAATTTTGAAAGTGTGACTCCAGCAGACAGCATAGTTGTAAGTATTTATAATAATGTCAGAGAAGAAATGGAAGATAAAGCCACATTTCAATCTGCTTTTATTTGATGCAGTCTGAAGGATATCTGTCTTTCCCTTTTTAACCAACTTCTTCTACAGGTTTTCCAGATACACATTAAATTAACATCTTTGTCTTTCTGCTCAGCCTGTGTTTCAAGTTGCATTTAATAAAGTGAACCTCCTCCTGTTGGAGGACACTAACTTTTGTAGCTATCCTAACCTAATTTTCATAGGGAATTTGACTTTTTTCAAAACTTCAGAGGCTCTTGAGACACTTAAATTCCCTTTCCCATAAATGTATTTTCTTCTGATTTATTCTAGAGCAAGAGGCTTGCCTGTCCTCCAGCTATGAAAAGGACTGTCCACCTTTTTGGGAAACTAATTTGTTAATTTTGTACTAGAATTTATCTCCTTTGTTTGACTAATTAATTGCCTGACCCAGTGAGTAGTAAGATCTCTTTAAAGTTGCCTCTTGATCCAGTGTGTTCATGCAGTTCATGCAGTGTGTTCATCTCTGCCACCAAACTTTATTTCATTTGTATCTGTATGTTAGCAAACACAGTGAATTTCTGTGTTTAGAAATATCTGAATATGATAAATGCATGTACTTCATTCCCAGCATTGGATCAAGACCATAAATAACAATACATACTGCCATAAATTGATCTAGATAAACCAATCTTCTACATTTTTAATCTAAATATGTCCTCAGGAGGTCATAGAAAACGCTTTTCTTCCTCTCTTCCTGTTATGCAGGATGGCTGCTATTCATACCATCACTTCTACAAGCACAGAAAGATTTTATGGCATAATTTACCTCCTACGAGACATCAGTGCCCTTTGGTACCATGAAAATAAGACACAGGAGGACCCAGACAAAGGAATGTATTCCATAAACACTCCTTTTGGGAAAAGTATTGACCCAAAATCCCATCTGCTTTATTACTGAATGACACTTTGTTCTCTCTCATGGTAAGAAAAAAAGACGGGACACTGTGCATTACAAAAAGGCAAAAAATTAAGAGCATTGTTCTGATTTAGGAAACAGCCTTATTACTGGATGGATAGGAATTACTGTAATGGGTATGAAAGTTACAGGAACAGTTATAAAAACCTTGAGGCTTTCCAGTCAGCACCTCCACCAGTTTCTTTGGCCTGATATTGCCATGTCAGCTTTGCACAGGATGCAAGCTGAGCATATGGCTTCTCTCTTCTTCTGAAGTTTAGTTTGCCACATCTGCCTCTCATCCTCAGAACTTGTTTTTCAGTGATTTGGGCTTATTTTCCAAATTCTTCTTCGATTGGTTGGCTAGAGAATTGTTGTCTTTACAATTCTTAAGCTGCTTAATCTTGGCTAAACAGGGCATAACCAAGAGGACATTTGCAGATGCAGCTTCACACTAGTGTTTTGGCAATATGGCAGCCATCGCATGTTAGACCTCACCGTCTTTAATATGTACTGGCCACTACTGAAATCTGTACATGCTGCTGGCATTTTATGGAGGGCTCTATACTCCCAGTGTAGCATAGAGATGTGCTGGTGGGCAGCATGCCGGTGTTATCCCAGCCCCAGAGCTGTGAGCAGCACAGCTCCCTCACTTGGTGTTGCTCTCCACTGTGTGAAGCCCTGATCTCAAATTGGGGTTTCATTCTACTGTGTTAATCCCAGCACAAAAGGTACTCAAGACCAAACAGAAGCCTTTGACGGAATAAAAGGTCATTTCAGTGTAATCAAAGTAAACTGAAATGTAACCTAGCTCTTTCTCATTCAAAGGCTAATCTCTTTACCTAGAGAACCAAAAGACGACTGGGATAACCTATTTCACTGTCCTAACAGATTAGTGCCACAGCACAAAATTCAGCCATCTGCCTCTATTTGGAAGGCCACTGGCAGAAGAGATGGGCTTCAATTAGATTTCCTGCTCCCCTCGGTTCACAGCAGGCATCATTCCACGTTTCCCTCACAGGGCCTGCTTCTGCGGCACCCGTGCAGACAGAACATGGACTAGCAATCCACCAGGTAGCTGTTCAGTTCCTGGCCCTGCCCCAGACTTGCTGGCTGACCTTACAACCCTCGCTTAGCCTCCCTGGTGCCTAGTTCGAAAAAAGGACTGGCTGGCTGCATTTATTCCCAGCAGGGTGATGCGCCTTAACACTTTCAAGTTGCTTTCATCTGAAGGCATTGGGGGAGAACTGCACGTTTCAGTACTCTGCTTGCACTGATGAGAGGAGAAAGAAACAGGCATGGATCTTGCAGCAGAGAGACCCAGGAGGCTGGACTTGCTGTCCCCTTTTTCAGTTGTCTGTTCCCCGTTACCTGCTGTGGCTGATTTTATACCAAATACGTTGAAATGCTAGGGATGCATTTTTCATACTTAGGATCAACCTTGCTTAGTGGAAAACTTCATCTGTTTTCTCTGGGCTCAAAACCTGGGAAACTAGGTGAAACATAGGACTGCTCAGAACTAGCACACACAACAGCATGGTCCCAAACATCCTCTTTTCCCTTTTATTCACCAGCATTGATTTTACCAGTGATATAGTTTAGCTGGCCTAGTTTAGCTGCCCTGACATACTTCCATGGGCAGAGAAATCACCCAAGTATAATTGTTGCATTTTATTATTTTTAGCATGAAGGTCTTCAGCATGTGCCTGTGGTAGCTGTCATCTGAGGTAAGTACAGAGGTAGGTGCCCTCAGTGTCTGAAGGGTGGTCAGGACCATGTCCCCCTTAAGCTAAGATGACAGGCAGCACGGCAGTGGCACCCAGCTCGGGGCAGCCCTTGGCCCAACTGGGTGTCCCGTGCAAGGTGCCAGGATGAAAGCCATGCTCAGGACCCTCCCGGGGGGGTCCCACCCAGGCCTGCACAAGCTGAGCACGTCCCTGCCTTCAGAGCGATTGCACTCTGCTGCCGTCCCGTGCGCCTGTACTGGCTGGCCGCACATGAGGAAGCAACCCTCGTGCTGAAACCAGAGAGCAATGTTCCTTTTTTCTTTTTTTTTTTTTCTCTGCAGGAAAGGTCTGCTAGAAAAGCCCCTCCGCTGACAGAGTTTCCTTTTAAGTGATATTGGTCTGAACTTCTACCCCTTCCCCCTCCCACCCCTGTGGCAAGCTGCAAGCGCTGTAGCTCAGGAAGAAGAAAGCTGCTTGAGAATCAGTAGAAAAGATGTACTTTTCTCTCACAGGCACGTCCCACCCCACTGTTTTTAACCCTTCCTTTTTGCATTTGAGCAGTCTAGGTCACCTGCGCTCAAGAGATGTTACCTGTTACAGGGGTCGACGGCTGCTGCCGCTCCTGATCTTTCTCCTTTTTTCTCTCTACAGCTGCAGCAGCTGTTTGTTTTGAGATCATCCCTCCTCTTTCCTCTTCCCCCACCCCACGACGTCACTGTTTGTAGCTCTAAGCAGGAACAGCACTGCACTTCCCGAGAAAGGAGTTTCTAACCCCAAACATCTCCACTCCATTTGCCCTGCTCCTCACCCAGCCTAGCCTAGGTTAGCTTAGTCTAACCTAAACAAACCTAACCTAGCCTAAACTGGGGGTTTTTTGCTGTTGTACTAGTAAGCTAGTCTGCAAATCCCACTAGCCTCGCCTCTTAACCCAGAGCAGTATTTTGAAGGTTTACTGGAGAGAAGGAATGCAAAATCAAAAATCTCTTTTTCTCTTCTGTTTAAATCACCAGCACTATGCTAACAACACTACCACATGATAAGGAAGGCTGGGAGCATAGCATAAAAGGAGCACTTTAGTTTACTTCAGATAGAGGAAAGATTTTTCCACTTGTTATCTAAGAACGTCTATTCATGCCCCTGTGAAGTATGGGCCCTCCTGGCAGAGAGGATGTAGGTGTGCATCCCAGTTTACTTCTGCCCTTAAATGTCTGGGATATCTCAGTATAAATCAGATGAAGAAGAATGTCATAACCTGTTTATAAACTCCCTTCTGCCAATAAGTAAGTTTTCCCTCTGGCACTCATGTTGAAAGCACATCCCATCCTGCAGTGAGGTTTGAAATTTGATGTTACGACTGAAGAAGTCACCCAGGACATAATGGAGCATAGGACATTATGTGTAAGTACAAGAAGTTTGGGGAATAAAATGTGTCTTACCAGGTCTCATCCCTACTGCGAGTGGCATTGAGCTCCTGGCAAGACCATCTCCACTCCCTGTCGTGTCCTGGAGAGGTGAGAAATGCCTCACTGGCAAGCGGGGGATTTCTTGGCAAAGTCAGTGGGACACTGAGTGGTTTTCCTGGTCGTGTCTCCTGTCTGGGACCTTAGCAGAAGGGTCATGCAGTCACAGCTGGCTTTTTGCTGGTGTGGCAGCTCACTTGCACTGCTCAAGAATCATCACCTCTTCCTAGGCTAAAGAGTGTATTTGTTTCTCAGGAGGAAATAATAAATCAGCATTAAATAAATGGTTAAACATTTAAGCAAATGGCTGTCGAAAGGCTCAGCCCATAGCTCTTGCAAAACAGCTCCTGCACTGCGTGCCTCTGGGAGGACAACTGGTGTGACTAACACTGCCAGGAGCTGAGCTCACGAGCGTAACAAGATCCAGCAGCAGGAAGAACAGCTCTTTCCAAACATCAGGCAAACACGTAAAAGCAACGAAAGCTCACCTAGCTCTGTGGTGTGCAAAATCCCTGGTTCTGGGCAGCTGCCAAGTCAAAGCTCCCACAGATGACAACAAGGGCACCTGCAAGAGCCCGTGAGCTGGATATCAGTTCCCTTCCGTGGCACTGGCCACCCCTGTGGCACAGCCTGGCAGGAGGCCGGGGGGCAGCTGGGGCGGTCTGGGCAGCCTGCAGCCCCCCGCACCATGGGGTTCTGCCCCACACTGGTGCCCCTGCAGCAGCCCCTGCTGCCCTGCCCCAGGCAGGGCTTCAGAGCAAAAGGGACAGAGGTGGTGCCCACTACTGGAGTGTTCTGTGGGCTTTCCTTTGATAGCAGCTTGGCACTGTGCACTAGATGTCCATTGCTTGCTGGAAGAAAAAAAATCTCTTCGTGTGGTGGCATGTGAAAGGAGAGATGTTGTCCTCCAAAAGGAATGATGTTGGTGTACTATCTATACCACTATAAATACACCCATTTGAGTGGCAACGCGCTGCAACGGTGGAGCTAAGGTACAGGGCTCATAAATCCACCATCACATGGATATTCAAAATATTTGTTGGGAGATGTAGAATACAATTCAGCCAGTGGGCTGTAGTAGATCTGACCAATCAGACCTGATGCTAACCCTTAGGTTCTGTTTTTCCCAAGAAAAATCGTTCTCTGAAACACAAGGTTTTTTCCTTTTTTTTTTTGTCCCTGCTCCTGCGGGGGGGTTGGACTAGATGACCTCTAGGGGTCCCTTCCAACCCAAAACATTCTATGATTCTATGATTCTGTGTACAACTTGCGGTTGAAAACGCATGTAAGGCCTCCTTAGTTGTGAGCTTTGAAGTGGTGTTCTTGTACTGTGATGGCATAAGGGTATAAGAAAGGAAGATCAATAACAAGAGGTAACAGCTTTTATTAGACTAGATGTGTAAGAGGGAACACTTCCAGGCACACTGAATTTTGAGAAAGGCTTAAAATGCTTAAAACATTTCACAATTTTGTAAGCTGCAAAGACATTCAGATGAAAGCAAATATTAAATATTGGAACACATGTTGGCTGGATATGGGAAGACTAGAATAAGTCCTGGAAAGAATCTAGCTTTTATGTTTGGAAAATAAACTTTCTTCTCCACTAAAGCTACTCCTCTTGCAGGCAAACTTCTGTCTAGAAACAACTTGACCAGCATAAAAAAATTACTCTTATATAGCTGCTAGCATCTGTTAAAACAAGCTTCATGACTGTTCAGCACGTGTTAAGCCTGACTCTCCTGGATTTCTCAAAATCTAAACATATTGTTACTGCCTTTGGTTTCCCTGCGTCATGAGGTGGGAAAAACATGTTCTGTCTGGGCATAGTGCTTGTGTCAGGAACCATTGCAAGGAGGTGCTTTATGCGTAAAGTTAACAGCAGCCCTGAAATTTTTCATGTGATATGGAAACAATGTCATTCTCTTCGAACAGGAAACACCACCAGGACAAAACATCTGCTCCATTTAAGCACAGCTTTTGTTTCCAAATCCTTGCTATAAAAAAAGCAATATGGAGATGTGTTTTAAGAAAAGAAACCACATGTCCTAAGATTAATTTTCAATGTTCCTGACTGTTAACTTTATGTCTCCTTTCCTCCAGGGTTAGATTTTTTGGCTACTTGAAATCAAGCCTATGTTTTGGCCAGTTGATTACACTGGTTTAAGCACTGGTAAGTCATAGCTTTTTTTAAACACATGCTTGATTGGAAGCAGACACTCCTGTACCATTGACTTCAGTTAAAGAAAAAGCATAAATCCTGGGCTGTCTGGGGGCCATGGGGCTGATGCGGTGCAGTACTGGACACTCTTATTTCTCACTAGCAGGCGGGGTATTTGCACAGTGCTGGTTGGTATTTATGTCGTGTGACCAAGACTGGCAGTGAGAAAAGGAAAGGAAAGCTGTGCGGAGGCAGCCGAGGAAGCAAAGTCATCTCCACACTGCAAGCAACGGGGAAAAGTGTCAGCGTTTTTGTCTGTCTGTACTCTCAAAGTGGGCAAAAGAGAAGGCAGCAGCCATGCCAGCTTCATGCCTCTCAAACCCTGGCAATTTTGTAAAATTCAGCAGAGACGCTGGGTTGCAAACAGGTCCTCCCTCACTGGAGCTGACTTGCTGGCATCATCTACCAGAGTAAGTCAGATAAAGTGGCTTTAGGATGAGGAAAGGTGCACTGGGTGAGCAAGCATTGTGCCACAAGGGTCCACCAGATACAGAACTGGCAGGAGTTACAGGTTTACAGTTTTGACAGGTGGAAAATGGATGAAGTTTGGAAATGCTTTTGGAGGAAAAAAAAAAATCCCAGCCAGTAACTTTGGCTTTGGCCATCTATGAGTGATCTTTTGCATTTGTCATCTTTCAGGACAGTTCAGCTCCAATGCAGGCAGGGTATTTCAGAAAAAGCAGGCTGGTGGTGTTTCCCTGCCACTGCCCTGCAGCTGGAGCAGAAGAAGGGGAAGGATGAGGGAAACCAGACAAGAGCCTCCTGGCAGCTCCTCTCCAGACTTCCCAAAATGTCGCTTGGAGGAGATGCAACAACCTTACCTTCCTTGCTTGTCACTGCCTGGGAGCCTTCGAGGGAGCAGGTCATCTGGCTTCTAGATTGGCCTTGTACTTGCAACCAGTACTACAACTCTGCTTGGAATATGTTGATTTTTGGGTTTCATTATTTTCGAGCATTGATCTCCCAGACTACAAGATATTACCCCAATCTCCAGGTGGAGGTAATCAGTAGAAAACTACTGACTATGCACTCAGCATAGGATACAAATGCAATCCATTGTGTTTCTGTAACACACCTTAATCCTGTTTTTCATAAAACTATTTCTACATGGAAACAACTTACTTTTATGATGCAAAGGATGGCTTCTTTTTAGGCTGATGATTATAACTCTATTCTACTGTTCTTAAAGAATCTGAATCTGCATATTCAGGGACAATACAATCTATTTTGGGTGGGGTAAAAATTTTTTACAATTTAATTTTCTTACAGGGAGTGTGGTAAATAGCATCACCCATTTTACATTTTTTAAAAAACTATCCTTTATATTTTAGTAGAGGTTCCTGTCCTTCCTTCTCATTCCTAAACAACCTCTTTTCAGCAGAGTGGGAAATTCACTGATTTTGCTAGGGAAGTAGTGAAAGGATTAACTAAATATCAAAGACATATCCAGTTCTGAAATGAGTCGTGCTTCTACAGTCTTTGCGCCTCCCAGTTCGCTGCACTCAGCTTCATTGCTGGTTGAGACCCCCGGGCCTGTCAAATATGCCACTACAACAAGGAGGAATTACTGCTTGATGGGCTGGGAGATTTCCCTTTTTTCCTAAGTGCTGGCCATTACCAAGTCACTCATAACAGAAGCTGTGATGATAGCTTCTGACATTTTCTAGGAATTTAATGGTTTGCACAAATAGTGACCGTTACGCTGCTACAGGAAACTGGGAAGGAGAAGGACATGTGCCCTGTTTCTCTTTAAAAAAAAAAAAAAAAAAAAAAAAAAAAAGAAGAAGAAAAAAAAGAAGAAAGAGAGAAAATGAAGGGTTTAGTACTGTGAAATACTTCTAGTTACCAGTAATCACATTCAGCACAAATCCTTTTTAAATACATGTGAATAGCTGTGACAGGATTTAACGCTTGTCCTGAGGACAACAGCGTGAGTTCTACTGTGAGCAGCAGGAGCTTATTTTTAACTACTAAAAAATTATAATTGCAAGAAAAGATCTGTTACAGCCAATGTGAGCTTTTCCCAAAAAGTTGAGACCAGAACTGAGTCCATCT